TAGATTTGGGAAGGAATCTGGGGATATAATAGCTTCTTAATCAGATTTGATATCATCATTTTAGTAATACCTCCTTTTTCTTCAACAGGCTGTGGAGCTAAATGATCATAAATCTTGGTGATAAGAAGTTAATATGGGCTTGCTCTTCAAGCCTGTTTTCTCCCTTGAACACTTACGTCACTTGCTTGTCTTTCTTTCTTTCTTTCTTTCTTTCTTTCTTTCTTTCTTTCTCTCTCTCTTTCTTTCTTTCTTTCTTTCTTTCTTTCTTTCTTTCCTTCTTTCTTATTGAATCACCATGAGATACAGTTACAAGCTTTCATGTTTGAATTTCAATCATACCATGATCAAACATGGTATTGCTCAGGAGGACTGATCTTTGGGGGTTACCAGGGAGGTATCAGGTGGCATCTTGCGTGGATGGTTGTGGGGAGCATATTTGGTAGCAGGGCTTAAACGCAAGGCCTTAAACATGCTAAGCATATACTTTACCATTTGGAATATATCCCTAGTCCAGATCAAGAACAATTTTTGTGTGTAGGATGGGAGTTGGGGGTGGGATGGAGGAGGTTGGCATTGCTTAGTGCTTACTCTAGGCTCTGCACTTAGGAACCTGCATTGGCACGGCTCAGGGGACCAAACTGGGTGTCAGGGGTTGAACCTGGGTCAGTGTTGTGCAGGACAAGTGACCTACCCTCTATACTATCTTTCCAGTCCCAGATTAAGAACTTTTAAAGCTCAGGGATGGTTTGAGATTTTCAATTCACCAAAGCATTTAACTATGGTATGGTGCCACAAAGTAGGGCATTTGCCTTGCACGTTGTTGACCCGGGTTCAATTCCTCTGTCACTCTCGGAGAGCCTGGCAAACTACCAAGAGTATCCTGCTTGCATGGCAGAGCCTGACAAGTCCTCTTGGTGTATTCGATATGCCAAAACCAGTAACAAAAAGTCTCACAATGGAGACATTACTGGTGCCCGCTTGAGCAAATCGATGAGCAATGGGAAGACAGTGTTACAGTGCTATGGTGCCGCCAACAGGTCAACCTGTACCTGTGGGGTGAGTGCATCAGCAGCCTGATGGTGCCTTCAGGCTTCCTGATACCCCTAAATTGCCTCTGTGCCCTTGGTCAGACAAAAAAGTTGGGGCCAAGTTTACCAAGAAATTAAATGGCCAACAGTTAGGTATGTGGGAGCCATGTCCACAAACCACCTCTGGCTCAGCTATACAAGCTCATTTATTGGCCTTATTTCATAGATAAATCTCAAAAGAGATCAAAAGCCACAGTTAATCTCGGACCCGCGCATGGCTGAACAGACTGGGGTAAATTAGAGGTGAGCAGGTTGGCCTGTGTCTGCCCAAGCAGAGCCCCCAGCAGCCACTTTTTTCCACAATCCAAAATCACTGCCATAACCCCAGCCTGACTCCACTGTCTCAGGACAGGCCTCGCCAAGATATAATCTGCTGAAAATTCAGGTATGCAGGTTTTGTGACTGAAATCTCCAGGCTTTCATGGAGTTGGGGTGGGCTACCTCCCCCGACTGCTCAATACACATGGAAGCACTGGCAGTCATCGCCACGAACCAATTCCAGCACCACCCTATAAATTCTACTACTGGCCTTGCTTCAGAGACCCATAAATAAATCTTGAAAGAGATCAAAAGCCAGAGACACAGCAGCGAGTGCCAGAAGACACCAAGAGCTGGAGATCTCTCCAGGGCCCATACTGAGCTAATTTCACTGGGGCACCCCAGATGGAGCAGGTGCAGTCTCCCCGTCTACTCCAGATGGAATCCTGAGGGAACAAGAGCTTCCACAAGCAAGGCCCCAGTATGAGGGTTCTAGGACAAAATCTCCATGCCACATGGTAGCAGAGGCGCTGGGCTGTCTCCCCCAGCTCCCTGCCAGCTAGTTGGCGTGGCTATCACACCCATAATGTGCCTCTGGGTGCCATCTTAGCACACCAATAGCCCTGGTCCACAGACACCCAGTTGAATCCCAAAATGGATTAGTGCTCTACAGAAATGTCTCTGGAACCCAACCATTTACAATCTAGAACTCCAGAAGTGCGTGGCCACAACACCCATGATATTCAAAATGAGCAATGGACAATAAATGATCTAGCATCTGTTCCTGGCAGGTAGGCTTGAATGGTTGTGGGAAAATTCAAGCAAAACATAACGTCCAAAAGTAGAGAGAGAGTATTTAGGAAATTGTTTGCCATGGAGGCAGGGTGAGGACTGGGATGGGGTGGTGGTGGGCAGATATACTGGGGGCACTGGTGGTGGAAAGTGTGCACTGGTGGAGGGATGGGTGTGAGATCATTATACAGATGAATCTTGAACATGGAATCTTTGTAACTATATCTTATGATGATTCAATTTCAAAAAAAGCATTTAATACTTGGATGTAAAAAATAGTCTCTGAATATGTTTTAGTATTATTTATTTATACTGATTGATTTAATCATAGAAACAGTACTATCATCACTAACTTTGTACAATTTGGATTTTTCACTCTGAGCTTTTAAATAAAGTCTTCTAGCCTTACCTAGTAAGGTCAGCAAATGTTTTTAGTAACTCAGAGAAATGAGTTACAAGGGATGCACAAAAACACTAGTTTTAAACTTTTTGACTTTCAAAGATGAGAAAAGCATTTGTATAATTTGTTGATGGGAATAAAACTCTCCTGTTAAAATGATACACAAAAAGACTTCATAACGGGGCTCGAGCGATAGTACAGCGGGTAGGGCAGTTGCCTTGCATGTGACCGGCCTGGGCCTTAGCACCACCAGGAGTAATTTCTGTGTGCTAAGCCAGGAGTAACCCCTGGGCACTGCCGGGTGTGACCCAAAAAGCAAAAAAACAAAACAAAAGACTACATTACTACATGACAAGTAGACTCACATTAGAATGTCAAATGATCAATTTAATCCTAGGTCTCCTGAGTGCCTACTATGTACTTGGCACCATATGTGCCGGTACAGAAGATCTAAGTTAGTCCCAATCTTGGGTCTGGAGTGATAGTACAGTGGGCATGGCACTTGCCTTGAACGCCTGGGGTTCAATCATGGAACAAGGAATAAGCCCTGAGCAGTGCCAGGTGTGGCCCAGAAACAAAAAAACAAACAAAAATATTGACTCTCAAGAGAAAAGCAAGAAACATATGCTTTAGAGTGTGAGCTACAGCAGATAGGAAAAAACTTCCATAGTCAGTGTCTTTGCGGGGTGAATGTGTCTTATAAATGTGGGTCTGGGGAGAGGAACGTTCTTCCTCTGAATTAGTAGTATAAGAAGAAACTGGTCCTGCTTTTCTCTTACAGCAGTTTGAATTTTTCAGATGGAATTATATACCTTCTCTTTCTCCAACATATATCACTGATTTATAGAAACTTACCCCTTAATAGAAGCCTTTAAAAGTCTAGTCAGTTTCCATCTGCTGTTCAGGTCTTGGCTGAAAATGATTATCGTATCTGGGTGCTCAGAACACACTAGGTTACAAAGAGCAAAAAACTCTAATTCTCTGAGTGTAATGAACAACGCTGTGTAATTCAGCAGCACAAAGAAACTCTACCCATTTTCCTCCAGGTCCTCGGGATTTTAACCTGCTGACGTTGGGCAGTCCTTGATGATCTTAGTGCTCAAAGAAGTTGCCTCTGAAGCTTTCTTGGAAGAAGAACAAAACAAAACAACCGCCACCTTCCTTTCCCCAGAGTGCCCAGCAAATCCCCTCTCCTTGGCCAAATCGTGTCATACAATATTGCGAATCAAACTAGCAGGGAATGGGGCTATGCTGCTTCATTTGGGTTGCAATTCTGTTATTTAGAGGGAAACACTTGCTCCAGCAGCAGGCAAGCGGGGAAGAACATGGAGAGAGTGGGCACTGGGGAGGCTGCGACAGAACCTGGCGCCAGGGACAGGGAACGACCATGGACAGTGGGATTGAAATCCTTGCTCCAAGCCACGGTTCTGCGGCGCTGGTCACCATAACGCAGGGTAGCGGCAGAGCCCAAACGCACGGCCCGTGTCCTGGCAAGTCCGGGCTCAGTGGCTTCTCCCTGCCGAGCACGTTGCTGCCATCAGACCTGGGGGTGCCGGCTGCTTCCATCTGTGCTTTTGATTTCGCTTTGCCTGGCTTTACCGGTCTGGACTGCACCACGGGCCCCGCCGAGTCCGGAGACAGGCTGCGGCTCGGGCGCACCGCGTCCCGCTCGGAAGGACTCCGGGGAAGACCCCCGTCGCTTCGTTCGCTCCTTGGAGTTCCTTCCCCAGGGGCTGGCCCGCCAGCGCCTCGGGCCGGCGACGGGAAAGGAAGGGGGCCCGGCCCGGCCCGGCCCGGCCGGAGACTCGGCCCGCTCTGCAGACCTGCGGCGCCGAGCGCTCCCCGGGCTGGAGGGGCGGGCGGTGACTGCAGAGGCGTGCCGGGGCCCCCCCGGAGCCCCGCGGCGCGGCGCGGCGGGTGGGCGACGGCGACCCTTCGGCAGCGCTTCTGCCGCCCGGGGCGAGTCCTCCGGGGCGGGAGCCCGGCGCTGCTAGCTCCCTCCGGGGCGAGCCCAGCGTCCGGCCAGCTGGCTGGCCGGCGGGAACCGCGGCCAGGCGCGCCCGCACACAGCCCCGGAGGGTCGCGGGCCTCGCGGGGTCCCGCAGCCAGCCCGGGCCCGGCCGCCGCGCCCCCGCCGGCCCCCGGCCCTCCCCGCCAGCCCGGGCCCGGACGCCGCGCCCCCCCGCCGGCTTTGTCCGCCCGCCGCGCGGCGGCCCCGCCCCCCCCGCCGGCCCGGCCCCGCCCCGCTTCCTGCGCGCGGCCCCACGTCTCGGTGCGGCGGCGGGCGGCGGGCGCGGGCCGGGGACGCAGGGGTTAAGCGCGGCGCGGCCCGACGCGGAGGGATCCGCGGCCGAGCGAGCGCGGTGCTGAGGCCGCCTCAGCGAGAAAAATGTCCGCCTGAGGAGCCCCGCAAGTTCTCTTCGGGGACGCCAGCGCGGCGCGGGAGAGGCGGCCAGGCCGAGCGCCGCCTCCCGCCCGAGCCGACCCCGCGCGGGCCGAGAGCCGCGCCCCGCGGCGCCCACGGGGCCCGCGCCGCGCGCGGCCGGAGCGAACTTTCCCCGGGCCGGTGGACGCGGGCGGCAGGTACGGGCGGGGCGGCGGCCGCGGGCCCGGGGCGCCCCCCACGCGGCGGGCCGGGGCCGCGCGAGGGGCGCGGGCGCGGGCGCGGGCGCGGCGGGGCCGGGCAGGCCCGCGGGCGGCGCTCGGCCGCGTCCCGCTCGGCGCCGGCTCGGGGCGGGCGCGGGCTCGGCTCGCGGCCGGGCGCATTGTTCGGGCGGGCGGCGGGGCGGCGGGCGGCGGGCTGGGGGAGGCGCGGGCCGGCGGGGCGGCGGGCGGCGGGCTGGGGGGAGGCGCGGGGCAGCCGGGCCCGCCGCGAGCCGCGCGTCCCGGCAACTTGTCAGCTCTATTGTGGCCGCGCCCGGGGGGTCGGGCCGCCCGGAGCCCCCGGCCCGGCCCCGGGAAACTTGCGGGAGCGGCGCGAAGTGGCGGGCGCCGCGCCGGGGAGCGCGTGGGCCGCGCGGGCGTGGGCGCCGGCGGGTCGGTCGCGGGCCCGGCCCGGCCGCGGGCGCTCAGCCTGTGCCCTGCTCCCCAGGACCCGCCAGAAGCGGCCCAGGATGAACCCGCAGCAGCAGCGCATGGCCGCGATCGGGACGGACAAGGAGCTGAGCGACCTGCTGGACTTCAGCGCGGTAGGGCTTGCGGGCGTCCGGCGGGGGCGCGGGGGCGACCCGGGAGGAGCAGCGGGCGCGCGGCGGGGGTCCCGGGCGGGCGCCGCGTGGAGCCCGCGCTCGGGGACCCGCGGCCGCCGGGAGCTGGGGTGCGCGGGCGGGAGTCCAGCTCCGCAAGCTGGACACCTGGACTTTGATGTCACGTCTGGACGTGCGGGCTGGGAACGCCAGTGTCCGAGGGGTCAGCCCCGCACCCAGTTAAAGTGCAGAGAGAGGCGCCCAAGCCCCCGCGGCCCCCCAGCTCACCCCTTAATGAATGATTCGGGAGTTGGCATTTCAGTACGAAAGAGAGCTTTTGCTTTTTCTTGAGCCGTTCTCAGCCGCTTTCTCCCCGAGATGCTGTAGGGTCGATGGTATCGGAGATGTTAGCTGCAAGGACCAGAATTTCCCGTCTGAGTTGCAGACTCCTAAGATACGCGCCCATGCTTTCTCGCGTGTGTAGAGTGCATATATGTGTGTGTTAATTTTGATATGGGACGCAGTTGAGTGACTTAAAAATATGAGTGGAAATCTCTTTAATTTCCCATGGGCTGCATTTCTTTTGAACTCTTTTTGGGAGGCGGGGGGGACTGATACCTGCTTGATCTAACTGTTTTTTAACGGATCATCCCAGGGTGTAGTAGTTTCTCTGGATAGGAGTCTGTGTATTGGACTGGAGTGTACATGAACTGGGACTCGGTTCTAAAGGGAAGATCCTGGACAGAAACTTACATTTACACTAAGTCTTAGAATCTTGCCTGGAGTGGCAGGTTTTCCAGAAAAGAATATCACTTGTCTTTCCAAGTAATGTTAGAAAATGTACCCACTCGGTGTCTCTGCTCTTCTGAGGTTGAATGCTGTTTTCACTTATAACTTCCTTCTGAAATGAAGTAACTGATCATTCTTGTTGGACTTTTGTGTGCAAAAAGTCTAGAAGAATTTCAGAACTAACAATTACATTTGCTCTATTTTGTAGATGTTTTCCCCACCTGTTAATAGTGGGAAAACCAGACCAACAACACTGGGAAGCAGTCAGTTCAGTGGATCAGGTAAGATGTTGTCTGAAACCAGAGACTCGTGTTTCGCTGTTGTCGTGCATTTTAGTAGAAACATAGAAAGTATTTCAATGTCTCCACGTTACTGTGTCCAGTTCATTTTTTACTGACAAAAAATCCCCAGATGTCAGTTGTACCTCTAGAGATCCATTAACAGTTTTGTAAGAATTTCAGTTTGTATTTATACTTGTTTTCTTTTATCTGGATTTTAAAATTGAAAGTTGTCTTGAGTACAAAGAATTATGCCATGTCTCTATACTTAGAGTACTAGAGGAAAATACTAGATGGTCTGTCTGTGGCTTTTCTTTTCTTAATGTTTATTTAAATATGTGTTAAATCTGGCTTATTTTTCAGCCATAGTGTTATTAAACACAGAGTTTTGTAAAATAATATTATTTACTATGTCCATGTGGAAACTAGAATTGAATCAGGCAAGAGTAAGACTTAATTTAACAGATATTCCCTTGGAATAAATGCAGCAAGTTAACAGTTTTGTGGACACTTATTTAGGATGTTAATAGAATAAATACCACAAAAGAATGGAAAGACTTATTTTTAATTGGTACCTAATAGATAACTGAGTCAGTTTTAATAGTTTGTTCTGCGTTCATGTTTCAAGTAAGTTTCTTACTTGAAATTTAGTGCTTTGTTCTTTAACATTACTTCTATGTATATTTGTAATTATTCTGTTTCTTGAACATTAGCTCCCCCGACCTCCCTCCGCCATTTCTTAAGTATGCCTTTTTCCCCCTGGCTTTAATTTATTTAAATTCATCAAAGGACATTCTAGAAACAAGGTCCATCCTAGTGTATACAAGCTGTAATCTTTTGTTTAATTTAAATATATTCCCCAGTGTTCAGAAATGGGAAAAAAAATAGTTATGAAAACACCTTAAAATCAGTCATCATCAGATTTCTGGGCTGTAACTCAGTAGTGTTTTTTTAGACCGGTGTATTTTCTGTTTCCTAGTAAAGGAATACCTGATTTTTATCAGATCTCATTGATAGAAAACATCAAAAAGAAAGGTTAATTTTATAACCAATATAACACCATACATTAAAATTGATTTTTATTGATGAAATTGTGGTTTACGTGGAAAATAGTGCATGTCATTTAACATATCAAGTTAAGACAAAAGCATTTAAAATTTTAAACATTCTAAAGGCAGTTATTATAAGAATAACATAAAATATCTGCCATAGCCTATTCTGTCACTTTCTTCTTGTTATTGGTAACAATTTGAAAATTGGTTCAGTTTTTGGGGGAGGAGAGAAATCGTTAATGTCGAAGAAGGTTTATATTCCCTTTTTCTATGCTGCTTTGGTACATTTCACTTTTTGCAGGAAGTACCGTATTTCACTGCATAGTTGTTGCATCCTATTTTTTCAGTAATACCATACATACACACAAACACACACACACATACACGACTCACTTAATGATTGGACCCCTCTTATGCAAAAAATTTAGTGTGAAAGCCTATATATGATGACTGTGTAGTGAAGTATGGTAATTCTAAGAAACTGAGATTTACTTTGTCTAATAGTAGATACATAGTATATTTCATTGAATGAGCACTAATATTGCTGTTTTAGGCTGTTAATTGCAGCTTGAATTTTGGAAAACATATTTGACTGACTTTATTAATGTTAAAGACATGAGCATCAGAAACTTAGTATTGGGATCGCCTTCTGTTTTCGAAGGGAATTTTTTTCCCACATTTTAAAATTAAATACAATTTAGGGAGTCTTTACCTTTACCTTATAAAATTAAGTAATATTTGAGAACTTGGAATGTTTTTACAAGCATGACATTGGAGCAGTTGTGGCTTCTTCTCCATAACTTGTGTTATAAAAAAATTATTTTTCTGTTGGATAGCAGTGTCTATAGTGTTTGCCTTAAAGTAGTTTTATTATCTATTGAAAATTTATACTTAAAAACCAGTGCTCAGTGATCTTAGTATAATTATCTTTATCGCTTTTATTTAAAGGCGAAATAGATGAGTGGGGGCGGGGGCAATTGACTTTAATGATTTGTGAAAGGATTTGAATTTTGGGGAAGGGAAAACACATAAATGATTATTTTATATCAGAATATTCTGGTAGATAATGTTTTTCGGTAGCCATTTCTTGTCTGGAAGAAAATGTCTACAGGAAATTAGTATGATGAGATTTTTATACACTTTATATGCCATTGATACTTGAATAATCTCTGTCCTGATCTTGAAGGATATTATGTAACATTTCTTAATGCTAGTTTGTTTGCAGCATAGAAGGAGCTAAAGATCTGACTTTCTTTTTAAAGAGTTGACTTAAAGATTAGTGCTTTCCTGTTTTTGCAGTAACACTTGTAAAATCCTAAGCCTTTGCCTCATGAAAATAAGAACTGTGCAGTAGAATTTCCTTTCTTGATTATTTGTCCTTTTTGAAAATGACAATTTGCAGTGGATTTTTTTTTATTTTGAGAAACAATACATAGCGCTTAAAGAATCTTTTAAACTAAAAGTATAAAAAAATGGGGCAATGAAATCCAAATGGCAAAAAGGCACATGAAAAAATGCTCTACATCATTAATCATCAGGGAGATGCATATCAAAACCACAATGAGATACCATCTCACACCTCAGAGACTTGCCTACATCCAAAAGAACAAAAACAGCTGATGCTGGCGCGGATGTGGCAAGAAAGGGACACTCCTTCACTGTTGGTGGGAATGCCGACTCATTCAGCCCTTTTGGAAAACAGTATGGACGATTCTCAAAAAATTAGAAATTGAGCTCCCACTTGACCCAGCAATACCACTCCTGGGAATATATCCTGGAGAGGCAAAAATGTATAGTTGAAGTGACATCTGCACTTGTTTGTTCATTACAGCACTCTTCACAATAGCCAGAATCTGGAAAAAATCTGAGTGCCCAAGAACAGATGACTGGTTAAAGAAACTTTGGTACATCTACACAATGGAGTACTATGTAGCTGTTAGAAAAGATGAAGTCATGAAATTTACATACAAGTGGTACTACATGGAAAGTATCATGCTAAACGAAATGAGTCAGAAAGAGAGGGATAAACATAAAAAGATTGCATTCGTCTGGGGGACATAAAGTAACAAAATGGGAGATTAATACCCAAGAATAGCCGAGATCAGTACCAGGAGGATTACTCCATGGTTAGAGGCCAGCTGGGCATTCTGAAATAAAGTGTGTTTGGAGGATCCTCCCAGGATGGGAGATGCATGTTGAAAGTAGACTATGGACCGAACATGATTGCCACTCAGTGCCTCTTTTGCAGACCACAACACCCAAAAGGAGAGAGAGAACAAAAGGGAATTCCCTGCCACAGAGGCAGGGTGGGATGGGGTGATAGAAAATGGGAACTGGTGGAGGGATGGGTATTTGATCATTGTATAATCGAAACCCAAACACAAAAATTTGTAAGTCTACAACTGTACCTCATGGTATTTCACTAATAAAAATTAAAAAAAAAATAAAAGTATAGGTAGGATGCTAACTTTTCAATCTTGTTCCTAAAGCAGAACAGATGGTTGACACTTTTAAAAGTTATCATGTGGGGGCTGGAGTGATAGCACAGCAGGTAGGGCATTTGCCTTGCATGCAACCAACCCAGGTTCGATTTCCAGCATCCCATATGGTTCCCTGGGCACCGCCAGGAGTGATTCCAGAGTGCAGAGCCAGGAGTAACCCCTGTGCAATGCCAGGTGTGACCCCAAAAGCAAAAAAAAAAAGTTATCATGGGGTGAGTTGTCATGAGGTATTTTCTACAACATCATTGTTCATCAAGGTCTTAATTTTCTTTGCATTATGATCAGTCTGTATTTTTTGCTTGGTGTAGTAGAATCTGAAGTGCAGTGAGTTTTTTGAGATACTTGTATGAGTTAAAGACAAGGGACTCCTGGGCGGTAGTCAAGGGGAAAACGTATTGAAAATATTAAGAAAATGAAAATACTTTAGGGTGTTTAAAGTCAGCTACCTTCCCTTGCCAAATTCAGGGCTTTGGTGTGTAGAATTAAAGTGTGATTTTGGGTTTAATTTTTAGTTTAAATATCTGAAAATTAGTGTTCGAATCTAATAGATCTTAGAGGGAGTAGGTTGCATTTGTTTTGTAAGCTATCATATATACTGAATCTGTCTCTGATAGTTCTTTATTGACAAGTATTTTAACTGAAAAATAAAGTTTTACCTTGTTAAACCAGATGTTTGTAACAATAGATTTTTCCTTGCCCAGTATTTTTTGAAATGTGAAAATATTTAGCTCTCAATTTTGGAAAGGAATGTAAGTTTTTGTCAGATACTCATCCATATTTTTTTGGAAAATATTTTCAGATATATGTAGGCTCTTTGAAAATACTGATATAGGGCTAGAAAAAAGAATTCTCATTAAATTGCTTTATTAATTTTTAAAATTAATTTTGTGATAATTATAAGTTCATATTCAATTGTGAATGACAGTGGTATTGTTACGATCTGAAACCTGACCCATCACAAAGATTCCTGATGTTTCTTTTTTATAATTATGTATAAAAGCAATTTTATAAAGCTATATTGTGAGATTGTTAAATACACATATACGCTGTGAAGTATGGAGTTTTGCAGTTTGCTCTACCATTTGCAGTTTGCTCTACCATTATTTGAACCAAAAGAGAGAAAACCTGAGTTTTATTGCCCTGTTTGATAATTTTAAGTAGATGGGAAGGTGGGTTTGGGCTTTGTACTTAAGGCTCTGTTGAGTAGAGCATGTGGTTCAGATTGTGTACTTATTCATGCTGAAATTTATAATGTGTAGCAGTACACACTTGCTCAGATTTAGCAGTATTGTTTGAGCACACCCGTGTTATACTGTTGATTTTGGAAAGTACCAGTGGTGAATGAGAGTAACTTCAGAGTTAGCAGGGGTGTGGGGAAAAATATTTTAGGATAAATATGGTCTGCTGTTAAGTGGTTCATTTATGATAAAAGTAAAGCATCAAAGGAGTC